CATCCTTCCTTCCTTCCTTCCTTCCTTCCTTCATCCGACAGTCCGTCCATCCATCCATCCATCCATCCATCTATTTTTCCATCCTTCCGTCCCCTACTATTCATCCCCTGCAATCCATCCATCCATCCTACCTGCCTCTGTTAATATTCTGTTCCCATTAACTGCAGGAAAAGACTCAGAAAAAAGCAAGCGGCCCAAAAATACGTAGAATAATCAATCTGTTGGCTGTTTTAATGGGAATTCTTTAACCTAATATAGCCGTTGGCTTGTACCTTTCATCACTTCGCTTCATTTCTCACTTAAAGGTATAATTAAAAGCTTCCTCTCTCAGCTCTCAGGCAACATGAAGTCATTTGTGTGATGAGTTGTAGCCGTAGTATTTTCTTAATCCTGTTTAAGGTTAGGGCTATGAAATACCCTCGACTCCTGAATCATGAGTGATGTGCTATGCAAATGAACAGATTTTATTAGACACGACCCATTTGTTTAAATTTCATTTCATAAGCAGGCTTTTCATTATGTTCGCACTCCGTTATGCTGATGTATTTAGATTTTTTTGCATATTTATCTTGTTTTCTGTGGGCTCTTTTACCGAATACGTCATTTTTAACAACAGTTGTTGCACGGTTTGTTTTTAATATGGATTAGTTTTATATTTCAACTAGCTTTTTATATCTGAATAGCTTTTCTTTTGTTGGCAATTCTAGTGGTTAAATTATAATTTTTGTTTTGATCAAGCACTTTTTTCTTAACAAAAGGAGGCTGAGGTGTTAGAAAATCATTGAAGCTTCTACGAATCATTGAACGCTAATAGATATAACAATCATGCATGCAAATGCAAGAAAGAAGCCCTTTTTTAAAGATGATGTGAATGACCGTTTGCAGCCCACTTTATTTACGTAACATATTTCAGAGTAAACCAGGACATGCAGAGTGGGGATTTCATTTATCAAGAATTAATTGAATCATAAAAGCATTGAACAATGTCTTCTGTCTACTTTATTTTCATCCACAGATATCAAAGATTCACTGATGCAGGCTTTAGCCAGTTACGTGTGTTACCCACAATCCCTGCGTGCCGTCGAGAGGATCCCAGAAGAACAGTAAGTGCTTAAGCCTGCGTTTGCATCAAAATGCAGTGATTAATTAATGTTTTTTTTGCTACTGCGTTTCTTATTTTCATCTCACCTTAGACCAGAAACATACTCTATGCACATTTGCAAATGCTGATGTGAATGCTTTGCTAATACATTGTGAGGGTACAGTTGTTTTATGTTTTTGATGGTTTAGATTTATTTTGTTTTTGATGGATTTGTTGTGTTGTTGTTGTTTTTTTTTCTGCTGATTTAGTTTAGTTTTATTTTTGATGACTTTTGTTTTGTCATGTTTTTGATGGTTTAGTTTTGCTTTTTTTTTTGCTTTGTTTTGTATTTTACGTTTTAAAGTTGTTTTTGCTTTGTTGTTGATTTAGTTTTGTTTTTTTATTTTGTTTTTCATCGTTTTGTTTTTGCTTTGTTGTTGGTGGTTTAATTTTGCTTAGTTTTTTTGTCTTTCATGGTTTAGTTTTGCCTTTTTGTTTTGTTTTGTATTTGTTGGTTTACATTTGTTTTGGTTTGGTTTAGTTTAGCTTTTTTGTTTAGTTTTTTTATGGTTTTGTTTAGTGTTTTTGTTTGTTTGTTTTGGTTTGTTTTGTTTTGAAATACTCATTATAGCAATCTGGTAACTTACATCATGCCCAATTATGAAAAACCTGTGCACCCTGGTTCCTGAAAATTCCATAAAACCAGCCAATTAGAATGAATTTCATTTTTATTTGTTTTTGTCTGCAATTTGCATCAGACAACCTAATTTTCATGTATAATGTCTTATTTCTTTGGTTCGATATTTTATTTGTCTTAGTTCATTGTTTCAGTTTTTATGGTTTGTATCATTCGAATCACAAGAATCTCAGCTTTCCAAAGATATATGACACATTTACCTTTTTTTTTTTTTGTGTGTTTGTGTAATTATTTATGATGTAATATCTCCCAGGCGGATGGCTATGATGAGGAACTTACTGGCTCCATATGAACAGAGACCTTGGGCTCAAACGAACTGGATCCTGGTTCGTCTTTGGAGGGTACGCTGCATTTCTTTTACTGTCTTACACAATTCCCTCTCCACCCTTTCCACTCCTTTCTTTTTATCTTCTCCTTGCCTTTCCTCTCCCCCTATTATGCCATTAGATTCCAGCTCAGAATAGGTGCATTATATCAGGGCCATTATGCAGCATATCTCCACTGTTTCCATTTAACATTTATGAAATGGGCCTGACAAACCAGCTACTCCCATTTAGTTGTTTAACATTTATTCCGCTCTCAGTGCCAAAAAGGGGTGACTTGTTTTCTCTTAGAGAAAATATTATTGGGTTTATTCATCCGTAATAGTATGATTATGTGTCTGTTCTTGATCATTTTTTGATCGAGTTTCTTGGAGTGTTGTTCTGTTGTTGTTTTAATTTATGATAAAAAAAAAATCCAGTTTGTAAATTAAGTGTCTCCTCACACAGAGCTGACTAACTTTAATATTTCACACATCACTGGTCACAAAAGAGTGATTTGTTTCCTTACTTTTAGGCCTTACACACAAAATACAGCTAAATATGTTTACCACTTTTCTTCTCTGTTCACACTTTTTATTGTTAACCCCTCATTTTTAACCTTGGGTTAATGTGGTCTTGGGTTAGTGACAATTGCCTTCTACTACTAATTTATTTCTGACCAAACTGAACAACTAGTTCATGTTGTTATGGTTAAAAATGCTTAAAGGGGTCATATGATGCGATTTCAAGTTTTCCTTTCTCTTTGGAGTGTTACAAGCTCTTGGTGCATAAATAAGATCTGTAAAGTTGCAAAGACTAAAGTCTCAAATCCAAAGAGATATTCTTTATAAAAATTAAGAGTCAGCCACGCCTACCTAAAACGCCTGTTCTAACATATCTACGTCACTATGTGGAAATATTAGCATAATGCCGCCCAAATATGCACGCAAAGAAAGAAGGCGTGGTTTCAGAAACAGCAGTAGTGTTGATGCAGCCATGTCAGGGAGACGCTGTGTATTTCAGTGCGAAAGCAGAAGCACTTTATTTGGCCTTCCGAAAGTAGATGCAATTAGGAATCATTGGTTAAAATTTATTTACAACAGAACAGCACAACCCAGATGTTCGAATTTGTGCAACGCATTTTATGGACGACAGTTTTTTGAACCTAGAAGAGTACAAGGCTGGATGTGCAAAAAGGCTATTTCTAAAAAAAAACAAAAAGGTTCAATTCCGACTTTGCTATGACAATCTGGCGCTTCTGAATCAGCGACTGTAAGTATGTTTTGTTATCAGTTTAAGTATTTGCTATTGACTGTTCAAATGCGGAGTTTTGCACAGCGCAGAGTAACGCGTCGTGTGTGTGTGTGTGTGAGGGGAAAAGGGTCACATCACAGGAGAGTGAACTGCCTGTCAGAAATCATAGCACGTCAGCTGTCTTAACCGCGGCTTGTGTACTGCATCATCACTGTGTCTGTCACGCGACTCTGTTGCCCTTTCGGGCTTGAACTGATGGTAAAACTAACGACATTATTAACTGTCTTGATATTTACTTTGAAAGCTGAAGCTCGCGATTATGGTAAGGGACTTTACATTTCCAACGCGTGCTTGTGGTGTTCGGCCAATCACAATGCACTGGGTCAGCTGGCCAATCAGAGCAGACTGCGCTTGTCGGAAGGAGGGACTTTGTAGAAAACGAAGCATTTGAGAGAGGCGGGGCATAAGATAAGATCCCTGAAGTTGCAAAGACTAAAGTCTCAAATCCAAAGAGATATTCTTTATAAAAGTTAAGAGTCAACCACGCCTACCTAAAATGGCTCGTTCTAACATGCCCCCACATGTCTACGTCACTATGTGGAAATATTTGCATAATGCGGCCCAAATGTTCACGCAAAGAAAGAAGGCGTGGTTTCAGGAACAGCAGTAGTGTTGATGCAGCATGTCAGGGAGACGCTGTGTTTCAGTGCGAAAGCAAAAGCACTTTATTTGGCCTTCCGGAAGTAGATGCAATTAGGAATCATTGGTTAAGATTTATTTACAACAGAACAGCACAACCCAGATGTTCGAATTTGTGCAACGCATTTTATGGACGACACGAGTACAAGGCTGGCTGTGCACAAAGGCTATTTCGAAAAAAAAAAGGGTCAATTCTGACTTTGCTATGACAATCTGGCGCTTCTGAATCAGCGACTGTAAGTATGTTTTGTTACTAGTTTAAGAAATTTGCTATTGACTGTTCAAATGCGGAGTTTAGCTCAGCACAGAGTAACGCGTTGTGTGTGTGTGTGTGTGAGGGGAACAGGGTCACATCACAGGAGAGTGAACTGCCTGTCAGAAATCATAGCACGTCAGCTGTCTTAACCGCGGCTTGTGTACTGCATCATCACTGTGTCTGTCACGCGACTCTGTTGCCCTTTCGGGCTTGAACTGATGGTAAAACTAACGACATTATTAACTGTCTTGATATTTACTTTGAAAGCTTGAAGCTCGCGATTATGGTAAGGGGCGTTACATTTCCGACGCGTGCTTGTGGTGTTCGGCCAATCACAATGCACTGGGTCAGCTGGCCAATCAGAGCAGACTGCGCTTGTCAAAGGAGGGGGCTTTGTAGAAAACGAAGCGTTTGAGAGAGGCGGGGCATAGAGGACCTACAATAATGTACAGTATTTGAAAAAGAATGTGTTTTTTGAACATTAAAGCATGTCAACATATTCTGTTAAACCAAATAATGATCTTTAAAATAGCATCATATGACCCATTTAAATTTGAATGTGGTTGTCACTCACACAGCTTTGCAGTCTGTATGTGGTTTTATATTGTATTCCTCCTGTCGACAGGGTTGTGGCTTTGGCTACAGGTACACACGTCTGCCTCATCTGCTGAAGACCAAACCGGAGGACGCAAACCTGCCCAGCCTGCAAAGTGAGTGACTGTCCTGTCTTCCTCCATCTTTATTTCCATCTTTAGTTTTTTTTTTCTGAAAACTTTTTCTTTACTTTTCTGTACTTTGTTTTCCATTGAATTTATATTTGTTTTATAATTTGGTAATGTTTTAAAATTATTTAAATGTTTTGTGAAGATTAAATAATTGTAATAGAATTAGAGATCTTGATAGACTAAAATGTAATTAAATTATTGATATTATAGTATATAGCATATATCAGTAATGAAAATCATTCAAAGGCATCACACTGAACATGATGAAAGCATTGAATAGACAAAAAATGGCCTTAGAAGTGTTTTCTGACACGATCTATCTGAGTCTGTCAGTTTAAACTCACTTTTATTGATGTCCCATAATGCTTTACTGCTCAAAACCCAGAATACACTAGACGCAGATTTATATTTACAATAAGTCAAAGCACAGACACTCAAGAGTCATTTATCATGATAACCACCTCATAAACAATAATGTTATTCATTAAAGTTTTTCTGCTTGGCATTTTTCTTAGAAATTTCCTTGAATGCTGTCAGCATCTTAGAGTTTGTTTGTTTGTTTGTTAGATTGTTGCTGGATATACCAATTATATACATTTACCAACCGCATTTTTTGTCACTAGTCAAGATGTATAAGTATAGCCTGTAGTAACAATAATTGTAGGAGGAGTTTTGCAAGGAAAGGATACACTGAAACATCAGAAAATGTTGTTTGTCCACCTCAGAAGTAAATTTTATTTGAGGTTTGCCATTTTGCAACCTGTTACCAAATTGTATAGTGTGTGAGCAGTTTAAAACAATTTATTTATGTATTTATTTATTTACATTAAACATGCAAATTATAAATATATATATTTTTAAATACTTAATGTTATTTAAGTATTTATTTTAGAGCTGTCAGTTTAACGTGTTAATTAATTAGTTATGAAAAAATAACGCGATTAAAATATTTTAACGCAGTTAACGCACTGGCCCCACCCCCAGACGCAGTAAATGCAGTTATGCCCTAAATTTCAAGATATTGGTGCAGAAATGCCCCTGTGTGAGGTTTTGTCTCATATTTATTTCATATAATATCACACGTGCAGCGAGAGCAATATTACGAGTGCTGATTTTGTCCGGAATATCACAAGTTTAAATGTGATTTTATAAAGCAGTTCAATAAATAAGAAGTTAATGTTGTGTTATATTTTAAACACAATATTATATATTTTTGCTCAATTTAGCAGAGAACATATTACCTTTAAAGCCACAGCAGAACTGTTGTGCGTCTCCGAGCAACACAGCGGTGTTTAGTTTCTGAATGAATCCGCGTTTTGAACTAATCGTGTGAATCAATGATTCAAAGGCCCATTCATAAAATTTACTTAATTCCTGAATGAATCAGCCGTTTGAACGAATCGAATTAAGACATTTACCACCACCTGCTGGCAGATTTATTTTCTTAATTGGAGTATAGTTTCATAAAAAATTAATAAATGAAGAAGAAGAAGAAGAAGAAGAATATTAAAGGGATAGTTCACCCCAAAAGCAACAAAAAAATCTGTAATTTCAAACCTTTCTTTTGTGGAACATAAAAGAAGGTATTTTGAAGACTGTTGGTAACAAAAGCTGTTTTGGTTACCAATGACTTTCATTGTATGAACTAAAAATACTGAGATGTTTCTCAAATTATCTTCTTTTATGTTCCATATTTATGTTAGGCCGTTTTAGCCTAAATGTTTGTGTAATATATTTTATGTTGAATCAAATAAATATTTATTTCTAAAGCTACAATTTGTAATGTCTACTTGATACTTTCTAATTTAACACAAAAATAGCTTTAAATAATCTTTTGTGGGTATTTTCACAGTCAAATGTATTTTAATCGACACATCATGTAATTAGATAAAAAATTTGAATCGACTGACAGGCCTAATTTATTTATTTATTTATTTACATTAAACATGCAAATTATAAAGATTTTTAAATAAGACTTAAATAACAAATACTTAATAAATAGCATTTATTTAATGAATTAAAAAAAATTATAATTACAGGGTTGCATATTTTGCCTAAATGAAGCCAACACTCAGTAAAGGCTAGCTAGTTTTGGGGCCACATTTTTGTTTGTAGTTATTGATAAATGTATATATTTATATTCCCATAAATTATATACTTATAATTCCATAAATGAAAGAAACATAATATATTTTCTCGTAATAATGTTGGTAGCAGGATTGAAAGATTGAGCTTGATGAATGGCGTCAACGTTGTTATAATATTGACATTACACAATTATGTAATGATATTGACATTATTTACTTCATGTTGTGGTGTAAGGGTCCAAATTATGTCATTTCTGTCTGGGTATCACAATTATGCAATGTTCCATTTTTAATGGCGGGAATATCATTCTGTAACAGAGTTGCTCTGAAATTCATTGAATATCATTTCAAAAGATTATTTACCGTAACTGCATGTAAAACTGAGTGAGCATCCATTTGAAATCAAATCATGTTTGTTCTTTGTTCCTGACCCTGGAATCTACATCCCCACTGACGTTATTAGGAAGTCATGATCAATAATGTAGAACACTGAGTACAGATGCTGTTTTTACTAGAGCGGTTTTGACATCATGCCATTCTTCTGTGCGACTGTAAAAAGTCTGTGCTTCTAACTCATTAAAGTCGAACTTGGCTCCTTCACCTTATTTCTTTCAGCAGCTTCAGATCAATACTTTTTAAGAGACCATCCATTAAGTCAAACCATCTGTTGCTTCAACCAGAGATGTTTCCCCTTATCAATTTACTTTAAAGCAGTACACTTTTTGAATTTAATCACTCACAGTTCACTGCCAGCCTATTTTTTTTGAATACATAATAGATCAGCTCAGTGTATTGGGAACTTCCTCAGGGAAAACATGTGAACTGACATCTTGCAAGCTTAGGTTCCTTTTCATGGTCGATATGAAACGTTCACAACCGATTTTACTTCTATAATGTGACATAATTTAGATGGAAAACAGGATGTTCATTAAGTAACATGTACTTCAGAAGTCAATTTTATCTATCAGGAATTGATTGTCAATTTGCTTAGCAGAAGAAAGGCTTGGAGCGCTTAATCAAGAGACCGATGCTTGGCTGTGAGGAATAAATTGTAAAGTTGTCACTTTGTGAAGGGACACTTGTCTTGACACTTCAGCTTGTCTTGTATGTGATGCATGAATTCCCTCCCTGGTCTGATGAGTCTTGTCTCAATGCTAATTCCATCTTTTTTCCCACTCTCATTTGCATGACGTCCAGGGGATTTGTCAATTGCTAGTTTTCAAAGTAAGTTTCGTTCCCATTTGGTAGTTTTCACCTTTGGTTGACCCTTATTAAACACTTTCCTAATTGCTGGTCTGCTCCGATGTAGCCTGAATGACTGACGTGAGGGTAAAGCGGGCTCACAGCAGACTGATTTGCGTTTAGGATTGTGTCCACACGACCATTTACCCACTCTTAAAGTTAGTAATAGTGGTGTCTTGTACCATTCAGTTTTGCCCAAGTTTGCTCCTTTAGTCCCTTCTAGCCATGTATTGTCCTTGCCAGTAGTTTGTTGTTTTTTCCCTCAGTAATTGTGCCAATTACCATGTGATTAATGTGTCACCTTTGTGTCCTACTCTAGATTATTAGTTAATTATGCTGCTCAAATGTTGGCTGCAGTCCAAATTCAAATATTCATCAGAATCCACATTTTGTACTTGGTAAAAAAAATGAACTGGTAATACTTAAGAAGTCCTACAGAAATTTACCATGGTACTGTTTCCACTAAAATAACGTAGTTAACTAGTTGACTCAGTGATCTGGTTGGAGTAGTTCCCTGGTGGGCAGATTGTTAGTGAATAACAACCTAAACCAAAGGTTCTCAACTTTGGCCCTCGATGTCTTCTTTCCTCACTTGATCAAACTCACCGAACTATAACTTTCTAGTAATCCTGAAGACCTCTATTAGTGCAAGTGTCTTTGATTTAGGGTTGGAGCTAAACTCTGCAGGAAAGTGGACCTTGAAGACAAGAGTTGAGAACCCCTGACCTGAACTTCAGTACGTTCCTCACACAAAGTTATCATTTCAGAAGACTTGTAGCACACAAGTCGACTACTTTTATGATGGTTCTTGATCTTTTTTGAAGCCGGAAACTTCCAGTCCACAATTGTTATTGCATGGAAAAGAGCGACCAGGATATTCTGCAAAATTGATCCTTTTTTGTTTATTGGAAGAAAAAATAAATGCAGGTTTAGATTGACATGAAGGTGACTGAATCTTTTAAAGGTGTTTCTATCCATTTTGTTTATCGGATCCTACCTTAAAGCAATTTAAAATGGAATTGACTCTGCAGTAACAGAGTGATTGCTTGCCTCTCAACGCCTGGAGTTCTGAAACATGTGCATCGTGCCATAGCTGCCTGCTACTTGGTCTCTCTTATGGCTTTTCATTCTATGTTTATTCCTCGCTTATTGCCCCCCCACCCTTATTTTCCAAGCTGCCACTTACACAGACTTCATCTAATTAAACATAAAGGTTGCATCTCTATCAGAGACCTACACCTCAGTGTCTAATGATTAGCTTTATTTAGAGCTATATTGCCATTGTTTGCTCTTGCTTTTAACACTGTGCTCCAAGGCTTTTAGCGTGTTTGCGATCACTGTGCTTTTCCAGATAAGGTATTAAATTTCCCAGTGTCCTCTTTGTGTGCATATAATGAGAGCGAGTGCCCTTTCTGTGTTCTCCAGACGTGGTCAGATAGCAGTAATAGAACGGCTAGGGGGCGGGTGCGATGGTTTCCCATCAGCCCTATGTTTTGCTGTTTCATTATTTTGTTATTTTATGTCGTCATTCTGTTCGCATGCAGTGTTCAGATCTGATTGTTTCCCCTCTCGTACGTCCATGGTATTTGCCATTTGGTATTTGCCATTTTGTCTTATTATTGAATAATTAGGGTTGTGGGATCAATGAAAAAGATGGATTTTTCTTGGAAACATGGTTTTTAGGTATTCTTATGGGATCCAAGGGTTATATTATGGCTAGATGGACAGGCCTTTTGTAATACTGATTGTGATGGAACGACTGTCTTTACTCACATCAATGCTGCCCTGACTCTTCAATCGCCTCTCTTCGGAGAAAAGTGCAATCACAATCCCTGTTGGGCAGCGGTGATGATATATGCCTTTATAGTGCCTCGTCACTACTGCCTTTAAATGCATCGCATACCTCTCTACAAGAGACCAATCCCTTCACCAGTGCATGCACAATAGTTTCCCCATAGCAATCCAATGGCACCAAAAGTAGAGTCACCGTACGCGCTTTCCAAGGCACAGATACATGTAGCAACTGGCCACCCAAGAGGCTGGCCGTGTGATGAGGTGTGGCTGAAGTTAATATTGTCTTGTAACTGCCACCTTTAAATGCAGAGCAAGAACCCCTCAAGCCTGATCTTTTCCCCAGTGCATGCACAATGGTTTCCCGTAGGTTCAGGAAGGGAGCGGGAAGGGAATTCCTCGACACTTAAAGTAGAGTGTTTTCTGAGACGCAGCTACGCTTTGCTGCTGACCGACCAAGAAGGCGGCTGTGTGATGAGGTGTAGCTGAAGTTAATATCACTGCTTCCTTTAAATGCAGAGCGTGCCTCTCCTCAAGAGACTGGTCTCAACTGTGCATGGGATTGTCCCAATTGGTTCAAGAAAGGAGTAGGCAGGGAATCCCAAACTACAAGAGGTAGAGTTGCCGCACCAACTCACTTTGCCGTGGCCCCCGGGGAAGCCAGGTTGTCACACTGTCAGAAGAAATGTGCTAAAATTGTACCTTGTACCTAAAATGCCTTGTCCCTTGGGTAGAAGCCTCAGGTACACCTTGTATCTGTACCTTATTTAGGGGTGCATATATAAGGTACAGATGAGTACCTTTGAGGGTACTGCCCCAATAACGAGCACAGTTTTTTTCTGATGCTGCCAGCTTTTGAATTCCAGATTTCAAGGGGAGAGTCTGTAGACCACTGGACCCTGCCTGTGCCTGAACCTTTATTAACACGTCCAGACCTTCACAGTCCAGTTATTCATGGGATAGTTCACCCAAAATGAAAATTCTGTCATTAATTACTCACCCTCATGTCCTTCCAAACCCATAAGACCTTAGTTCATCTTCGAAACACCTTCCATAGACAGCAACGCAACTACCATGTTCAAGGCACAGAAAGGACATCGTTAAAATAGTCCATGTGACATCAGTGGTCCAACCTTAATTTTATGAAGCCATGAGAATACTTTTGTGCGCAAAGAAAACAAAAATACAGACTTTACTCAACAATTTCTTCTTTTCTGTGTCAGTCTTCGACGCGCGGCCACGAGAGTACCACGACACATGTGTATGGTGCCCGTGAATGCAGGAGCCGGCGTTCTGACATAGAACACGCATGTGCTGCGTCTTGACACGGAAGAGAAGAAATTTTAAACAGATAGCTCACCCAAAAATGAAAATTCTGTCATTAATTACTCACCCTCATGTCCTTCCAAACCCATAAGACCTTAGTTCATCTTCGAAACACCTTCCATAGACAGCAACGCAACTACCATGTTCAAGGCACAGAAAGGACATCGTTAAAATAGTCCATGTGACATCAGTGGTCCAACCTTAATTTTATGAAGCCATGAGAATACTTTTGTGCGCAAAGAAAACAAAAATACAGACTTTACTCAACAATTTCTTCTTTTCTGTGTCAGTCTTCGACGCGCGGCCACGAGAGTACCACGACACATGTGTATGGTGCCCGTGAATGCAGGAGCCGGCGTTCTGACATAGAACACGCATGTGCTGCGTCTTGACACGGAAGAGAAGAAATTGGTGAGTAAAGTCGTTGTTTTTGTTTTCTTTGCGCACAAAAAGTATTTTAGTAGCTTCATAACATTACGGTTGAACCACTGATGTCACATGGACTATTTTAACTATGTCCTGACTACCTTTCTGGGCTTTGAACATGCCCGTTGCGTTGCTGTTTATGCAGGGTCAGAAAGCTTTGGATTTCATCAAAAATATCTTAATTTGTGTTTCAAAGATGAAAGGTGTTATGGGTTTGGAACGACATGAGGGTGAGTAATTAATGACAGCATTTTCATTTTTGGGTGAACTATCCCTTTAAAATCTCCTTTCAGTTCAACCTCATTCTCCTATGGGCACTTGATTCCCCCTTTTTAATATTTGAAAATCATTTCAAATGAAAACCTCTTCAATGATGAAAGCCTGCCACATGATGTAAGTGATGTCTGGTTTTATAACTTACCAAGAATCAGACTTAGAGCACTGTAAATCCTAAACTATAGAAAAGGTTGGTTTGATCATTGTGGGTAGATTGGCTAGTCCACAATTTAACTTATTCAGAGACAGAAAGGCGTAACCTAAATAATTTTTTGACGTGACTAACCATAGCTTGCTATTGTAATTTTTGTTATACTCATGATTTAAAATAAATAAATAAATCATAGACTTGCTGAATGTGCTTTTCTCTGATTGGCTACAGAGCCCTGTCCATCACTACTGCTGCAGAGACATATGGCTGAACTCCTTAGTCAAGACAAAGACATGGCTGCCAGTTTCCTCAATAGCGTCTTAAACCAGCTCAACTGGGCCTTCTCCGAATTCATCGGCATGATACAGGAGGTAAGAAACTTTTGCCTTCATACCAGACAAACAGAAAGTCTCACCTCAAAATCAGGCAGAAGTTGAAGCTTCAACACACTGAAGTAAAAGTTAAAAGTAAAAGTTTTTGTTTGTTTTTTAACCAAAACTTTAAATTTGTAGCCGGTTGTTTTCTCCAACCCCACTGATCAGCCCTCTAACACTGTAGCTAACTCAATCAGAGCCTGTAAATTATTCACTATGACTATGTAATCATGACTGCCACTTGATATTTGAACTGAATAACCATTATCTTGCATTTTCAGTGTAAAATGAATCTTTGCATAGTTCAAGTTACTTAGTCTTTGAAATATTCATTAGATGTGTTTGTTTGTATCGATAAGAAGTGCCTAATAACAAGACTTCTGCCACTTTTGAAGAAAATGGGAGTGGTGCTTGCCCATGCAAACATCAACGCCACAATGCTAGTGTGCTGCGAATGTGTTTTAAGCATTTGCTAGACATTTTTTGGGTGTTAGACACCTAGGTGTCCCAGGGTGATTCTAGAGTGTTGCTAGGCAGTTATTTGAGTGTTCTAGGTGGTTGCTAAGGCATTGCTAAAGTGTTCTGACTGGTTGTTGGTGTGTTGATTGGTGGTGGAGTTTTTTTTTTTTAAGAGTTTCTAAGATGTTTAGTGCCAGTTAGAGTGTTATTAGGTGGTTGCTTTGGTTTACTGGAAGGTTTCTAGGGTGTTGTTAGGCAATTACTATTAAGAAAGCATCATACAATTAAAGTGATAATATGCCTTTCTTCAACAAGTCACATGATTTGAAGTATCATTCACGTTCGTAGCGCAAATACAGACACAGTTTGCATTTCATTTATGTATAACGAAAGCCTGAAACTTAACATGACTTGAAACTAGTGCTGTCAAAATTAGCACGTTAACGCATGTGATGAATTTTTCCACTTTAATGGCGTTCAAAATATTTAACGCTGTTAACACAGGGGCGAAGCTAGGGTTGGCCACCCCACTCAAAACTGCTGCTTCTGTCTGTTTTTTTCTTGACAAAAATTGTGTTTATTTAGACGCGGAACGTCTTTACAAGCACATCAAACGGGAGACTTTTCAGACGCGCACTCCACTTCGCCTCAGCGCCAGGCGCTAGTCAAACGAGCGCGGAAATGGTACAGGTGACGAGAAGCTTCAGAACATCAGTGAACTGCGGTCAGATGAGATGTTGTCAGGCCATATGTCAGTAATTTATTATACCACCATTGATTATAATTGGTTTATGTGAAGACTGTTTTAAGTTAAATTAAACATTGTTATTTTTTTAAGTCTAATAAATGTTCAAATTGATAGCTCTCATTTATAGGCTTACTGTAATGTTGAATGGCTATAATCAATGGTCAATTTCCTAGAGACATCAGTATTGTATCAGTGATACTCGACTTCAGTCATAAAAGATGACACTAAACAAATATAAAAAAAATATATACTGACTTTGTTGTTTGTTCATTTATTTGAAGATTGCATACAATTATTGCAATATAAAAGTATATTTAAAAACGTTAATGTTAGGTAAGATTAATCGTGATTAATTAGTTAAAAAGTTTTAATCGATTGACAGCACTACTTTCTTTTGCTGCCTTCCAAGCACTGGAATTTAGTTTACCTTGTGCTCAATTCACCCCGTTAACAACTTCATTCAGCCGCACACTAATTTGATAATTTGGACACCATGGAAACAACCTTTTGGGAAGAGTAGCGCGCGCGCCCCTCCCGTTGTAGGGTCATTACTAAACGCAGGCTTTGGAGTCTCGGGAAGATACAGAAGAAAGCAAAACCTCCCTGGTCTATAATGGCGGGGAATTAAACCTCAGACGTAAAAGCACTTTCTCACCAGGCTTTCTCCTCAACTCTTAAATCAATGTCTTTCAGGAGAGCCGAAGCGCTGAAATTCTACCTATTGCAGATTGGACTTTGATTCGTATGCTACTTTGCCTGGAGGTTTGGCTGGCTCTTAGGAGCGCCTTTCATCTGTGATGATCCACGAATTAGGAGGCACTGGTCTCCAGGGGAGTTTGTGATGTGTTTACGGCCTCAGTTTCAGTGAGCACTAAATTGAAATGAAGGGTAGATGTAGAAAAGACTGATGAGAATGTCTAAGCATCAAGACTCTGAATACATGTGCACTAAATACAAATGTTTTATACCTAAAGAACTGAATGGTAAAATGTTTTTGCTGTTAGGCCTGGGCGATAAAACGGTATCGGTATTTATCGAAGGTGCACCTTCATTGATTACGATAGAAAAAAATCCCCAATTCCATTCCACTGCGTCTCATATGTTTTTAAATGCAATCTGTGTGATTGGCGCTCCGTCCCTTTTTATTAAGCTATTCATAAATACATGATGCTGTTTTGTTCATAATTGTTAATGCAATGTATGCAATTCTATTTAATTTATATATGTTAGTTCAGACATCATGCACTTTTTTTACAGATAGTTGTTATTTCATTGCAATGAATAAACAATTTAATGCGGTGCATTATTTTGCTCATTGCGCCCTTCTGTGGCCTCAGGAGACAAGCCAAAAATTTCCTTAAAGGGATAGTTCACCCAAAAATGAAAATTATGTCATTAATTTCTCACCCTCATATCGTTCCAAACCCGTAAGACCTTCGTTCATCTTCAGAACACAAATTAAGATATTTTTGATGAAATCCCTGCATAGACAGCAACACAACTGTGATGTTCCCAGGTCCAGAAACGTAGCAAGGACATCTGTAAAATAGTCCATGTGACATCAGGGGTTCAACCGTAATTTTACGAAGCTATGAGAATACTTTTTGTGCTCAAAAAACATAAAATAACGACTTTATTCAACAATTTTTCTCCTCCTCGTTAGGGCTGAGACTAAAAATCGATGCATCGTGAATCGAGAAATGATTCAGCATCGATTCTGAGATTTTCCAAAGACATCGCGATTCTCTCTTGAATCGATTCCAGTTCCTTACACACGCACCATTTAAACTTAAAATAATCATTCATAAAGTTCGAAAAGGTTGAAGCAAATTACAAGGATGTTCACAGTGGGCTGTTTACATTAATCTCGCATCATAAAAGCCAAAGTACATTTAACCACTTACATTACTCAGCTGAACGCAAAAGAAGGTTGAAGCGAATTACCAGGATGTTCACAGAGTGGGCTGTTTACATTAATCTCGCATCATAAAAGCATAAAAGCCAAAGTACATTTAACCACTTACATTACTCAGCCGAACGCAAAAGCGCTCTTCTTTGTGAGCATTTGAGTGTGCGGTTAAAAACTAGCCTAGAGCGCCATTTGCTGTTAAAAACTAAGCTCAGAATCGATTCGAGAGAAAATCACGATGCATTCGGAAAATCTCAGAGTCGATCCACGAATCGTGATGCATTGATTTATTGTCCCAGCCCTTACTCCTCGTCCCGTCTGCAGCGGCTTGATGCATTCGGAAAATCTCAGAATCGATCCACGAATCGTGATGCATCGATTTATTGTCTCAGCCCTACTCCTCGTCCTGTCTGCAGCGGCTTGCCGCCAATGTGGAGAGTATCACGACACATGCGCTTGCTTCCACTTCATGTAAACGACGCATGTGCATGGCGCTGCTGCTTATGTTAACACACATGCATACAGTGCAGTGCGTACAGTGGTTAAATTTAAACCTTTTTTATTGCTGTTTGTTTAAAGAGGTTATAAAAAATGTCAATAATTATTGATACCGAATGATATGAAAAATTGTATCGTGATACAATTTTTTTTAGCTATATCGCTCAACCCTACTTGCTATGCAATTGCTGAGTGGTCCTTGGCATGTTGCCATACAGTTATTAGGGTGTTCCGGGTGGTTGCAGGTTGGTTGCTGGGGTATTCTGGGTCCTTTGCCTAATTCAAAAAAGCCCATGGGCTTATCTTCAATCTATTGCTGTTACTCTAATATGAATATGAATAATTTAACTGTCATTGGGTCTTATTTTACCTCATTCCGTGCAACAAGACATACAGCCCCGTATCGGCAGTTTCATAACATCTTTTTTGACCTCCCTGTGCTTCCAATATGGTCTCTTCATGTCTTCATTTCTTTCCTGTCAGATCCAACAGGCAGCTGAGTGGCCTGAGAGGAATTTCGTGGACACGCGGCAGTTAAAAGTGTGCGCGACCTGTTTTGACCTGTCTGTCAGTCTGTTGCGGGTCCTGGAGATGACCATCACTCTAGTGCCGGAAATATTCCTGGACTGGACCCGCCCCTCCGCCGAGCTGTTGCTACGCCGATTGGCTCAGGTGAGTGTGATTGACAGCTGGGATGTGTTCTGAAAACGTTGTTCTAAAAACTTTCAAAACTTGCCAGTGCAAAGTGAATAAAATTAAATGTATTTTATGTAGACATCGAACTATACTAGTCTACTGTCTGTGCAGACAATATGTCAGAACCTTCCTCTATAGACTTGCGTTATTTTATTACGTTCCATTGTTATTATTATTTGCTTTTGTTTGTTTAATAAATGAAAGCTACGGTTGGGATTTTTTTGACATTTTTTGCATTGTACCTGATTTACATTTATTCTTTTAGTGGATTGGGTGCTTCAGAAATAGACATCGTGTGAAAAACAAGACTATCAATGGACGCAATTCGTTCTTTGTGAATCCCCCAAAATGTTATTAAATTGGAGAATATAGCCAATTTAAAGCATAAAGTATCACAGCTTAGCAGTGCAAAGAATCTGTATTGGATGAAAGCTAATGGTTGGGGTTTATTGATCCATAAATTAGGTCATTTTGTCAAACCATAAAAGTTCTTACAAGGGTGATGGAGGCGAGGCAGTCATTATTAGAAAAAAAAAAAAAGATGAAAGCTATTTGAGGCTTTTCACCTTTATAGGCATTTTTTTTTTTTAAATGAGTGTTTGTTTATGGATGATGTATGTGGTGCTTTCCACAAATAGGGTACACCTTAGTCTCCCATTACTTAAAACCATTAAATGCACAAATCTCATATTTTTCATTTATGCATTTTTTTTTTCCTGACACTGACTAATCGTTCATTTATAGGAAATATAACTTTATTAATAACTAAAATGGGTACGTTGGGTGCAAAATTAGCTAGAAACTATTGACTGACATACCCCACTGGCATACCCCAACCTAAACACCCCACCCCCACCCTAAATTTTATTTAATCTTGTAATTTAATATCTTAAAGGGGTCATATGATGCGATTTCAATTTTTCCTTTCTCTTTGGAGTGTTACAAGCTCTTGGTGCATAAAGAAGATCTGTAAAGTTGCAAAGACTAAAGTCTCAAATCCAAAGTGATATTCTTTATAAAAGTTAAGAGTCAGCCACGCCTACCTGAAACGGCTCGTTCTAACACGCCCCCACATGTCTACATCACTATGTGGGAAGATTTGCATAACGCCGCCCAAATGTTCACGCAAAGAAAGAAGGCGTAACTTTTATTCTCACTGTAGTATTGTTGCCGCTGCCGCCATTTCATGAAGACGCTGTGTGCTTCGTTGTGAAAGCGAAACTACTTTGTTTGATCTTCCAAAAGAGGACGATATCCGCTTAGTCATGCCTAGAGCTGATCTGTGCTGGTCGCTGAGGAAATACATCAACTTTCACCGTGGACGAAGCGGAGTCCAGCCCGGGGTCGTCACATGTGGTTGCCGCTCTTTCGTCGGATCCGCCGGGCGCGCCGTTCTCGACCCCGCCGCCTCTGCTAACGCTAGCCCGGCCTCAGCTCACGCTAAGCTGGGGCTTCCGCCATTACACCAAATACACCAAATAATGTTCTTTTTAGCAACATCATATGACCCCTTTAATGTAAAAAAGACAAACGATGTAGGTATGTAAAATAGTTTTAATACTGTTTATTTTATTTTGATGTATATGTAATGCTTACTGCTCGGAAATTATTAAATCACAAATATGTGGGTTTTAATCTGTATTTAGTCATGTCCAAAAGTTGTTAACAGAAAAAAAATTATATGATAAAAATCATATAAATGTAAAAAGACAAGTGATATAGGTTTGTAAAATATTGTTTTGTTTTGACAGTTCAGTTTTATCAACCCTGTTACCCATTTTTACATAGCATTTTTTTTTTTTTTTGATATTTCTTTTTATATATACTGTATTTTAATCTTACTGCAAAGAAATAATGAAATCACAAAAATAAGGGTTTTAAACTATTCATTAATGTCCAAAAGTTGGTAACAGGGTTGAAAAAAATTGCAAACCATATAAAAATAGAACGTATATAATAATTAATTACTTTTATTAATTGTCCTTGCATCCTGAGGTTAATTGTCATTTAATATTTATCAATTTTCAGAAGGTTACGTACCTCCTTTTTCATTTTCAGATGCTATTTTGCACTCTATTCATGGAAAGTGCCATGCAAATGAGGAGCGGATAGGCTACTGCATGTTTTCAAGGCCTCAATTATGGAGGAGAAGGCTTTGAAAATGTGTTTTCTGGTGGGTTTTTCTCACAGTGCTTACGTGGGCTCTATTCCCAGCGCAGCGTCCATTCACCTGCGGCTTGTAATCAGGCTTTAACTGAAACACACCTGTGAGCACAGCAGGACTCCACACATCCTTGAGGAGCAGAACCTCCACCTCATGCATACTTATCCATTTACATTTTTTCCTGTCCCTGAAGGATTTATCCTATCTTTCAATACAATTACATGCGATGCGCTATAGTAAACAGCATTAATTGGCACCTGACTGCTTGGTACCTCTGAATTAAATTCTTGAGCGCATGATGCTGAGTCCAAGTGGCGTGCTAAAGGAGCGAAGGGAATAAGTATTGCGATCTGATCACTGATTTATGACCAGATGTGTTTGATTTGCTCACTGAAACCCTTTCAGACTGGAGCAGGTTGCATCTGTTCATGTTAAAAGAACCCCCCCCCATGATTTTTCATATACTTACCCTCGTGTTGTACCTATATACATTTCTTTTTTTTTTCTGTAGAACACAAAATAAGATTTTTTTTTCTCCATACAGTAAAAAGTCAGTGGGGTCCATTGTTTTGTTATTTTGGACCCCATTGACTTTTATTATGGACATTCTTCAAAATATCTTGTTTTGTGTTCTGCAGAAGAAAACAAGCAGTTCAGGTTTGTAATATAGTGTGCTTTGCAAAAAGTTTAGTTTTTTTTGTTTGTTAAATAATGTTACGTTTTTTTGTTATTTGTTTTGCTTTGCTTTCCTTTGTGTGTTTTTGTTTTGTTTTGCTTTCCTTTGTGTGTTTTTGTTTTGTTTTTCTTTTGTGTTTTTTGTTGTTGTTTTGCTTTTTGTGTTTTTGTTTTGCTTTGCTTTGCTTTGTGGTTTGTAATATAGTGCTATGTTTTTGTTGTTTTGTTTTTGCCTTGCTTTTTTGTTGTTGTTTTACTTTGCTTTGTATTTTTTGTTTTGTTTGTTTGTAATATGTTTTTGTGTTGTGTTTGTTTTGTTTTTGCTTTGCTTTCCTTTTTTTGTGTTTTTGTTTTTGCTTGGCTTTGCTTTGGTTTTGTTTGTTTGCAGTATAATGTTATGTTTTTGTTTTGTGTTTTGCTTTGTTGTTTCTGCCTTGTTTTGTGTTTTGCGTTTTTTTGTTTGTTTGTTTGTTTGTTTGCAATGTGTTTTTTTGTCTTTCTTTCCTCTTGTTTCTTTGAGTTAACATTTCCTTTAATTAGGATAACATTCTCATCTCTGGTTTATGTGTGTGTGTGTGTTTTTTAAATACTAAGTTCAGGTTTGACATTTGTATTTTATTGTCTTTCTGTAGCTCCTGAACCAGGTGTTAAATCGAGTCACGGCAGAAAGAAACCTCTTTGACAGGGTGGTCAACTTGCGCCTCCCAGGTAATTCTCATCAATTTCCTTCTTATGCAAAAATAATCTTAAATGAATGCAAATAGAAGCATTGAACATGAACTGCATGCTTTAGTACACACTTGAGGATGCACTTGAATGCAATTATATTTCTGAAACGCTTGGTGTGCTGTGCTGAATTTAAAACTCTCAAGTATTTTGCTTCGTCCTTGATCGCGTCCCCCGTGAGCTGAAATATGGTTTGTTGTAACCTAACATTAGACTTCTCACATGTTCCTTTTATAGCACCTTGTTTCAAGTCCCAGAACAAATAAAAAGTAATTTGATATGCATTTTGCGACGTTCTTGACATCACCTCTGAAACCCTTTCCGAAGTTTGGAAAGTCATCCTGTACACTCAGGGAATTATATGAGAAGAATAGGTCAAGAGATTACACGGCGAGTTAGTATGAAAAAGTAATCCAATTCAGGAGGATACTGAGACTGTCATCAGGCCAATTTTTCAGCCTTGACATTGCAGAACCATAGATTTATAATGAATGAGGTTGGGTCATGTTGTTAGCCTGAACTTCACTCCAAGAAGGGCACACAGAAAAGCCTGACTTCCAATGTTTTTTTAAGTTGTTATTAGGTGACATATTGTGACCCAGGTCTCTTTGGTCTCAGATTCTGTGACCTTCAATTCCACTCAAGTGGCTTTAGTAGATTTAGTTTATTCACCACTTGATGAGTTTCCCCAGACATACTCATTTTTTATAATTTTTTGGGGGTATTTGATGGTCCGTCAGTTAAATTCAGAGCATATTTGTTATGAAAGCATTATGGTGTCCTTGGAAAAAAGTCAAGCGAAGCAGCATTAGGCAAACTTCGTTTATTTCCAGCAAGAATACTGCTTGAACTCCATTGACCTGTGCTTCAGAAAATTGCTTTGCAGAAAGAAAATTATCTAAATCTGAAATCACTTTAAATAAGCTTTTTTTTGGAGAGTAATTTTCTTCCTAACTAAATAACAAAATGACGTCATGCAGACCCTTATTTTACTTTATATATATATATATATATATATATATAACTTAACCAACCAAAAACAGTTTTTGTTCATACCAGTGTATAAATTTGTTCAGAAATATATAACAGTGGAAAATGCTTTTTATAATTTTCCATTGTAAAATATTTAAAATAATTGTAAACTTGCTAAAATAAAAATGGAAAATTATTTTGTGTTGTGTTGTGTTGTTATATTATATAAAATATAAATATGTATTTATATTAATTAAACATCTAATTTTCAGAAATGTTTATTATTTAGACATAAGTATTATAAGTAGTATTAATAAAGATCGGGTTGAATAGTGGGGTTCTGTGTAGTTTATTTATGGAATCCCGCAAGATTTGACGTCATCTGTTACGGCACTCACTGACTGACTGCGCCGCTGCGTGATAGCGCGGGGCTTGTTGATCCCGCTCTCACTGAACTTCTGACCATTACCGCATACTCCCATCTGCTCCCGCGATTTTTGTGTCCGCTCCCGCAAACATTCTAATTTTGTATATAATTTTCGCGCATCAGGGCGCCGCTATATGTGGGGTATTTAAATCCCCGTTGAATGAGCGCTTTCAGTCGTAGTTCACTTTCGATTTCGCGATCGCGCGCGCACTGTGTAAAGGGAGCACATCCTACGATAAAATATATTTGTCAATGAGCTCGGGATCTGTTGTGGAGCAAATCCTCCAACATCTTGTCAGTTATCGCTCCTTACTTTTGACCCGTGATTAGTCAAATCTGACTTCTGCAGCTCGTGTTGGATGCAGGGTTGTTGTTGTTTTCCCACGAAATTGGGCTGCTTTTAAACTGTTGCCATGGGTTGAATATATATATATACACACACACACATACATATAGTATATTTATTTTTTATTTATTTACAGTCACAGTAGCTGTATATCATGAACTCTAAAACAGCAACAACAAAAAACAACAAAAACAGATTTATTTTTATTATAAAGTAAAAAGCCAAAAGTCATTATCTGAACCAGTAATAAAAGCATGTTTTGTTTTGTTCGTAGGCCTGGAGAGTGTCGATCACTACCCCATCCTAGTGGCTGTTACAGGGATATTGGTGCGCATTCTGGTCGACTCCGATAAACAAGGGTGAGTTTATGGCTTTGTGTTTCATTATTTTCCCCTGTATATAATGGGATTTCCACATTTATGCGTGTTGCCGGGTTGAATTACTGACGTAGACTGAGCAAATGTGCATTAAGGTAATATACGGCCACACCTCCCAGCTCTGCGCTGTAGTTTCACACAAACCAAGCTTCTGTTTTATTTGATTCGGTCTGGATGCGGTCAGTGGGACTCCTCGACTTGTGTTTCTGGTTCAAGAGGCGTTTTCCTTTTCAAAGAGCACATTTGTTCTGAGGAAATGGGCACACGGCGGAGGTTTGTGTGTGTTGGCATGAGTGCCGTGTGACTTTGGTCTGAGCTCCAGGAGCAATCGACAGTTAATTGCATGGTCTGCTGCCTGAGGGGGAGTCTGACAGCCGCCGCGTCCCTGTTGTGTGTCTGTGGGCCGAGAAGAGGGTCAGAGCAACAGGATTCAGGACAGAACCTGTCCTGTGGGGAGGTGAAATCTCCTGTTAAAAGAAATGAGACTTCTGAGAGAGCAAAGAAAGGACAAACAGGGTATCCAATTCATCACCATCGCTCCAGCTCTCAGGAGTATATATTTTTTTTTTTTGTGGCATTTGAAATTGTGTTTCTACTATAAGCTGTAGCTTTGTGGCAATTTTGTTCTTACTGTTGTATTAGTCCTTCAATCTATATAATTTTTTCAAGATATTTACAAACAACATGCACACTACCATGCAAAATGAACATAATACTTTTAATCAGCAAGGACGCAAATCAAAAGTGACCGTAAAGACGTTAATAACGTTACACAATATTACAACTTCAAATAATTGCAGTTCTTTAAAAAATATTTATCAAAGAATACAGAAAAAAATGCATCATGGTTTCCACACAAATATTAAGCAACACAACTGTTTTCAACACTGATAATAATATTAAATGATTATTGAGCAGCAAATCAACATAATAGATTCAATATATTCAAACAGAAAAGAGTTATTATAAATTGTAATACAATACTGTTTTTACTGTATTTATGATAAAATAAATGCAGCCTTGGTAAACAGAAATGTCTACTTTTTAAAAACATGGCCAAACAAACAAACCAAACCATAAAAAATAAATAAATAAATAAATAAAACCTGTTTAGACTTGGTGGAAAATGCCAATGTTTATTAATATTTTTCTTAAATTATACACATAAATGTGTGACAGAATTTATTTAGTTATTTATTCAAATTAAATTCAATATTTACTGTGACCGGGTTGAAATAATATAGAAACTATATAATATAGCACTGTATGTTTAGTACAAGTGATAATAAATAATTACTTAGCAATTTTTTAGAGTTTTTGGTGTTCTCATACTAGCTCTCATACTTTGGGCCTGAGATGGAAAAATATGAATTAAATTAAATTAAATTAAATTAAATTAAAAATAAACAAAACAAATGGCAGTATTTCCTGAGAATGAGCAAAATGCTTTCTCATTGCTGGTGAAAAGCATGGTGAATAGTGTAAGAACGCAAATTGGGACACAGTCTGCATTTGCTTATCTGTATTTAAAAAAAAAAAAAATGAAAGAAAAAAAAAAAGTATTGCATATCCTTTCAAAAGACGTCTCTTTCAGAAATGTATTTTTTGATATGCAGCTTTGATATTTGTCTGGGGTGATGAAATAATTAAATCTACCAGGCGTATAACTAGGATCACAACTGGCCTTCAAGGCCACTTCTGAGGATATTTAAAGGATAGTCCTGCATGTAGCTGGAATCTGATGAAGCTGTCAGTAGAAATGGGCAGTGGACAGGCTTTTATTGCCATCGCTCTAAGGCAACTGATTTCTTGTTTTGATATCACTGTTGCATTTTGAGGGGTTGACTGCCTCTGCTCTTGTTCAGTATTCTTTATGTGCAGCTGATTTAGTAGTTCGATGTCTTTTGAGATTAACTGTTAGATTTGAGAATTAAGGTGGAGTCTATTTGTAAAATGATGCTCATGAGGCTTTTGCTTTATTTGAATAGCTCACAACATTTAAACACATCACAGTTTGCAGTGTGATGCAGTATAAAATACACTTTTACTAATAACATGGACACCTTTTTTAGCATTAAAAGATTTGTTAAATTTACATTTGTTTAATCTTTGTTTTTGTTCTGTTTTGTTTTGTTTTTGTTTTGCCTTTTTTGTTTTTGTTCTATTATGTTTTTGTTTTGTTTTTGTTTTGCCTTTTTGTTCTATTATGTTTTTTTTTTTGCTTTGTGGTTTTGATTTTTGTTTTGTTTTTTGCTTTGTTTTGTGTTGTTTTTTTCCCTTTTGCTTTGTGGGTTTGTTTGCTCTTTTTGTTGTTTTTGTTTTTTGTTCTATTATGTTTTTGTTCTGTTTTGTTTTTGCTTTGTTTTGTTTTTGTTTTGCCTTTTTTGTTGTTTTTGTTCTATTATGTTTTTGTTCTGTTTTGTTTTTGCTTTGTTTTGTTTTTGTTTTGCCTTTTTTGTTGTTTTTGTTCTATTATGTTTTTGTTCTGTTTTGTTTTTGCTTTGTTTTGTTTTTGTTTCGCCTTTTTTGTTGTTTTTGTTCTATTATGTTTTTTTCTTTGCTTTGTGTTTTTGATTTTTGTTTTGTTTTTTGCTTTGTTTTGTGTTGTTTTTTCCCTTTTGCTTTTTGGTTTTGTTTGCTCTTTTTGTTGTTTTTGTTTTGTTTTTGTTCTATGATGTTTGCTTTTTTATTTTTGCTTTGTTTTGTGGTTTTGTTTAGATTTGCTTCGTTTAAGTTCTGTTTTGGATTTGGTTTTGGTTGGTTCAGTAATTAATTGTTTAATGAATTTAGTTATTTATTAGTTATTTAGTAATGTCTCATAGTTATGATGAGTAGTAAGGTGTTTATAATTATATTGTCTATCAAGTCAAGTCCATTCACTTGTCTTTATTATGTAATTACATATAATTGAATATTGTGTTGTTTATTTTAGGTTCACTTCCCATATTTATTATATTTATTATATTCCTACTTGTTATTATATACTATTTATTATATTTAGTCTTGTAGTGTGCTACCTTATTTTAAATGTCTTTCAGTATAAATATATATGTAGTCTTTCAATAAACAAGGTCACAAACACCCTTGCATGATAGTTATGAAAGAAGAAAGTGTTATTTGTAATTGTTTTAGATTGAATATCATGTAAATTGCTCATGTGCAATCTGGTGTAATATAATATTAGTACAGTATATACTATATAAAATATTATGATACAATATACATTGTCATGTAGGAAAAGACATAAACACAGGAATATTGTTACAGTACATGTCTAATTCATCAATACTTTTTTTCTACAGAAAACAGACAAAACTAAATATATAATTACAGTTTGCACTATTTATGTTCTGATTTTTAGGGATAATTTATTGTACCTAACTACATTGTCTTTCATGTTTGTTAACATGGCTATTATTTATTTATTAAAAAAAATATATATTTACATACATTTCTCACCTTTTGTGTACTCGTATAGACACATTTAATTGCATACTTATTGAATTATTATTATTTCATGTAATATTTAAACATTTTCTTCTGTGTTTAATTTTGTCAGTTATACCCCTCCTTCATTTTACATGTTAGTGAATTATGTAATATGAATCTTAACAGGTCTTCAGGACCTACTGAGCTGCTTTGCAGTTTTTCTGCTGTTGCCCACAGCAACTGCACCAATTACCCAGAATGCTGTGGTGCTCTCTTATCTTCTCAAGATGGCCTAGCTTCTCTCTGCACATGCTGCGATAAGACCTGACCTTTCTCTTTGAATGTCACCAGGCTTCTTCTACTTGTTTTATAAGGTCTTATAAGGTCTTTTGATAAGGTCGCACTAAGCCTGTACACGCACTGGACACAGACATAGAGTTTGTCAGGTCACTTCTGTTTACAGGTGAACACGAGAGATTGTGTCTTGAGAAGATGACCTTTACACACTTGAATATACCGCAGCACCTCAGGTAAAAGCTAAGGTGAAAAACAACTGTCCTCACTGCTTTCTGTGAGCGTTTAGAAGTGTGCAGCATGTCTGTAGGTTTTAATTTTACTTGTTCTCGACTCACTAATGGTTTGTTCTGACTTGAAAGCCAGACAGTTCCTTGATAATCCAGTTTGTTGGTAGATATCATATGTTCAGATATATAGCATTTCGATTGGGGTTGTTTTATGGCCTTGCAACTTCGCTTTTAGATTGATTTATGCAAGAAAACTAGGTCTGGGAACAGTTGTGACCAATGAATGAGGAATTTTAATGAACGAGTCAAAAAAAAAAACTCTCTTTGAATCAGATTAATGACTCGCTTGTTGGGTTTTGATGCATTCACTGAACTGTCTTTCATTTGTTATTAATTCATTAAAAAAAAAAAAAAACAATAACCAAAAATATTATCTTTGTTTGATGTATTTACAGTATATCAAGTATTGTTTATTACCAATTATTTTTTTTATTTTTTTTTATTATTATTTGGGCCAATTATTTTTGGAATTAAGGACTGTTGTTAAGTAAAATTACTTGCCTTTCCCAACCCTTGTTTTGTTGCTTTGCTTTACTTTTTGTTTTGTTCTGTGTGTTTTTTTAAAAAAAATTTTTTTTACTTTTTTTGTTGTATTTTTATTTTTTTTTGCTTTTTGTTTTTGTTACATTGTTTGTTTTGTTTTGTGTGTTTTTTTAAAAATTTTTTTTTCTTTTTTTGTTGTATTTTTTTTTTTTTTTGCTTTGTTTTGTTTTTGTTACATTGTTTTGTTTTGTTGCTTTGTTTTGTTTTTGTTACATTGTTTGTTTTGTTTTGTTGCTTTTTGATTTTAGTTGCATTGTTTTGTTGCTTAGTTGTTGTTTTTTGTGTTGCTTTTTGTTGCATGGTTTTGTTTTGTTGGAATTAAGAACTGTTAAGTAAAATTCCTTATCTTTCCCATTCCTTGCTTTTTTTTTTTTTTTTTTGCTTTCTTTTGTTTTGTGTTGTTGCTCTGTTTTGTTTTGTTGGAAT